GGCTTCCCTGCAGGGGATCCAAACCCGGGGGCGCACGTCCCTGTGGGACAACGGCACCCTCACCGTGCGGGAGGCGTCCGTGTTCGACCGGGGGACCTACGTGTGCAAGGCGGACACGGAGTACGGCCCGTCCGTGGTCACCTTCCCGGTCATCGTCATCGCCTACCCGCCCCGGATCACCAGCGAGCCCACGCCCGTCATCTACACGCGCCCAGGCAGCACCGTGAAGATGAACTGCATGGCCATGGGGCTCCCCAAAGCCGAGATCACCTGGGAGCTCCCCGACAGGTCCCACCTGACCGCTGGCACCCAGGCGCGCCTGTACGGACACAGGTTCCTTCACCCACAGGGGTCCCTGACCATCCAACAGGCCACCCAGAGGGACGCGGGCTTCTACAAGTGCACGGCCAAGAACATCCTGGGGACGGACTCCAAGACCACCTACATCCACGTCTATTGAGACAGGAAGCCACGCCGAGCCGGTGTGGCTCAGTGGATGGGGGACAGAAGGGTCCCGGGTTCGATTCCCGGTCCAGGGCACATGCCCGGGTGGCGGGCTCCCATGGCCAGTAGGGAGCGTGCAGGAGGCAGCCGGTCCATGGTTCTCTCTCATCGTTGGATGTTTCTCTGTCTCCCTCTCCTTCTCCCTTCCTCTCTCTCTCTCTCTCTCAAGTCAATAAAAATTTATTTTTAAAAAAAGAAAAAGAAACAGGAATGGGAGATCGGGGTCCCACCATCATTGCTGAGGAACGTGGAGCAGTTTCATGGGTCAAGAAAGTCATGGGGGGGCGGGGGAGAGAGTCTAGACTGCAGTGATGGCGAACCTATGACACGCGTGTCACCTCTGAACTCATTCTTTTGGTTGATTTTTCTTTGTTCAATGGCATTTAAATATATAAAATAAATATCAAACATATACGTCTTTGTTTTATGGTGGTTGCAAAGATCAAAAAAACTTCTCTAGGTGACACGGCACCAGAGTTAAGTTAGGGTTTTTCCAAACGCTGGCACGCCGAGCTCAAAAGGTTCGCCATCACTGGTGGAGTTCTAACACCATTTGGCACCGGGGAGGGGGACCCCCAAGGTTGGGTGTCTGGTTGGTAGTGACCTTGACCTGTAGGAAGCCACTCAGGCGGAGAAGGGAGGGCACAGCCTCTCCCAGGACCTTCTCTCGTGTTTACAGGGCACCGTGAACGTGATCTCATCTGGCGTTATTTCCACGGAACCCGGGTGAGAATGGAGATTTCTGCCTGGCCAACACCACCCAAAAAACGTCAATGTAGGATGCCTGAGGGGCGTTCACTGGTAATGAACAGGAACAGTGACTAATTATCTCTCCCCGTCGGCTAACCCGCTACCGTTTTACGGGAGAACATTCTAGAAGACCAGTTTTACACTATAGAACGTTCTCAACCTGTGGGTCGCCGCCCCTTTGGGGGTGGAACGGCCCTTTCACGGGGGTCGCCGAAGACCATCGGAAAACACATCTATAATTGCATATTGTTTTTGTGATTAATCACTATGCTTTCATTATGTTTTTGTGATTAATCACGATGCTTTCATGATGTTCAATTTGTCACAAGGAAATTGGGGGTCACCATGACATGAGGAACTGTATTAAGGGGTCGCGGCATGAGGAAGGTTGAGAACCACCGGTTTTTAGAACCTCTATCACTTCCGAACTCCAGTTTGCCCAAAAAAAAGGGCTTGGAACCAGAATAATTTAAAAATGTTGTTTTTTAAAATATATTGATTTTGGAGAGAAAGGGAGAGAGAGAGAGAGAGAGAGAGAGAGAGAGAGAAACATCCATGATGAGAGAGAATCATGGACAGGCTGCCTCCCGCACGCCCCCTACTGGGGATCGAGCCTGCAACCCGGGCATGTGCCCTGGACCGGGAATCGAACCCTGACCTCCTGGTTCACAGGTCGACGCTCAACCACTGAGCCACGCCAACCGGGCAAAACAATTTTTTCTAAAAAAAGGTACAAGTTTCCTACCATACAGCTACCATTTTATATATGAAAGAACTCTTTTCCCCCACCCCTGCCCGGAAGTCACTTTTTATATAAATAAATATATATATTTTCTTTCTAATTAGACGATGAGGCTAGAAAGAGAAAGGAACCCTTTCTGTCTCATTAAAAAGAATAAATTATTGATCTTTACAAGGCTCAGAGACATGGGAGCAGGCATGGAAATGCAATTAAGAAATTCCGCCCCCCCCCCCCCCCCGCCCCCTGACTTCCTTCCCATTGAGACACATTGATCATGTTACAGTTCCCGGGAGCCCCGCGATGGGGAAGGAGGGGATATTGGATTTCGTACTTTGTGAAGTTTATCTGAAGACCCTCCAGTGGGGGTGGCGGGGAGAGGAAGGAAGGAAGGCGAGAGCTCAGACACGACCCCCCAGAATAAACTCAGAGACCCTCAGAGAACAAAACACAACGCATTCTCTCCCCCCTGGGAACGGGCGCCCACAGAAAAAAAATAGCACAGCCCCGTATTTCCATGACTGTTTTACTGTGTTGTTTGTCTGTTTTTAAGGTCTAAGACAATGTACATTTGGATAATAAAATGATCTTTTCAAAATCACCGGGCCATGACATTGATATTTTCTTTTCTTTTCTTTTTTTAAAAAATATATTTCTTTATTGATTTCAGAGAGGAAGGAACAAGGAGAGAGAGAGAGAAACATGCATGATGGGAGAGAATCATTCATTGATCGGCTGCCTCCTGCACGCCCCCTACTGGGGACCGAGCCTGCAACCCAGGCAGGTGCCCTTGGCTGGAATCGAACCCGGGACCCTTCAGTCTGCAGGCGGACGCTCTATCCACTGAGCCAAACCGGCCTGGCTTTTCTTTTCTTTTAAATAGTTGTATTGATTTCAGAGAGAGGAAGCGAGAGGGGGAGAGAGAGAGAAAAACATCCATGATGAGAGAGAATCATGGACCGGCTGCCCCCTGCATGCCCCCTACTGGGGATCAAGCCCACAACCCGGGCATGTGTCCTGGACCGGGAATCGAACCCCCACAACCCAGGCATGTGCCCTTGACCAGATTCGAACCCGTGACCTCCTGGTTCGTAGGCCAATGCTCAACCACTGAGCCGCACCAGCCCGGCTGAAGATGTGTGTGTTTTTTTTCAAAAAGGGTGAGTCATTGAAACAAAAGAGTGTTTGCCTTCTCACTCGATAATGCATTTATCTGCTGAATGTATATCTGTCTGGGCAGCCCTCACTGTGTGGCGGGTTCCAGGACGGGCGCTGGGAACACCCAAATGTATAGGACACTTGTCCTGCTTGGAGTTCACGCTCTGTAAACAAGCCCTTCGGCTAGAACGGGGTTTCTCAACATTAACACGGTGACTTTGGGGACTGGGTTGTTCTCTGCGGTGAGTTCTGTCCCGGGCACTGAGCAGCATCCTTAGGGTATGTACACCTACCAGATGCCAGCATCACCCTCTGCTCTACCAGGTTCACGAGCAGACGTGGCTGCAGATATGGTCACATGTACCCGTGGAAGGGGGGGGGGGGGTTCACAATGACTCTTAGTTGAGAAGCAAAGCCATAGATGGTAAGTAGATAGAAGGATGGGTGGGTGGATGGATGGATGAAAGGAAGAATGGATGGAGGGAAGGATGCATGAATGGAGGGAAGGATGGATGGAAGGATGGATAGATGGGTGGTGGATGGATGGATGGTGGATGGATAGGTGA